TAATTAATTAATTAAATTATAAATAAATTTTAATGAAAAACCTGATTTTTGAAATTTAAAACTTCAAACCTTAATTTTGAAATGGTGATACTTAAATACCTTATTTATGTATTGTTCCCTGTGTTGTTTTGTAATTGGATTGGGCCATTTGTTCTAGGCCCACTTCTTAATTATATAATATATAGGCCAACCCAAATCCCATTATCCCTTCATTCGAAATCGAAATCAATCATCGAATTCCCAATTCTTCACCTTCTCCAATCTCTAGAGTCTCACCCGTTGCCGTCGGAGTGCCAGTGGGTGATTTTGTCCACCACAACCAGTCCAGCCAGCCCGTGTCGAGCTGCAACCGTCTGTTACTCCATCTTCGTCAACAGACTCAGCCCCGCCATTTGGTGAAACCGTAAGTTTTGGATTTTTTATATTGATTTTTTCTTGGATTTGCAAAAATTAATTGTATTCTATACAAACATACAATGTCTATGTACTAAAAGGTGTATGAAGTTCTATCATCTTCTGCATTTTTTTTTTTAATTTCTAGGTCCAATAGTTGTTTTTGATTGAGTATGTTGTCAATTTTTAAGTTTTTATGANNNNGTTGTCAATTTTTAAGTTTTTATGAATTATTTTGGTCCTGTCAATTGTCATATTCGATGTTAAATCATGAAATTTAAGTGCAATGAAATGCAAAAATTTCATATTTGTCTGACTTCTTTGCTGATAGGTATACTTGGTTCTTCTACAATCAGTAAATTTGTCTTCTTGTGCATTGATTTGAAATGAGAAATTAGTTGTATCACTACTATATAAAAGAGTGAGCTCCATTTTTATTGTTCATAAGTCGCGAGCCGAGCCGAATGACTTTTTGGCTCGGCTCGACTAAGCCCTTTTATTTTTTTTTATTTTTTTACATTCGATATTTCCTATCCTACATCTTATCCTACATAAATATCATATTCGGCTCGGCTCGGCTCGACTAAGTCATCTAAGCCCCCCCTTTTTTTTTTACGTTCGATATTTCCCATCCTACATAAATAAAAGAGTGAGTTTACTCAGTACTATTCACAAGCCAATTGGCCAACTAAGCCTAGCCGAGTTGGTTTAGCAGTTGAAGCCGAGCCATTGTCCTTCCTTTTTTATTACAGCTGTTTTTTTTTTTTTTTAAACCATTCCCTTCTCATACGCAACTATCATTTCTTTCTTCCCCATTTAGCTCGACAAAACATCTTTGCGATTAGTAGTTGATTCTGATTAACTTGGGCATTTTATTTGGAATTTTATGTTTCTTCCTATGAATTCTAGCAGTTGTGTTTGGTGTGGATGCTTTTTTTCATTTTTCTTTTTGTATTTGATACCGATTAACTTGAATATTTTATCTGTAATTTTATCTTTCTTTTTATGAACTGTAGCTATTAGGTTTTGTGTGGATACATTTTTGCTATTCGTTTTTTATTCTAAATAATTGTACTGGAATTTCTCTTGGCATCCTGAATTCTAGCAATTGGATTTTGTGATCACATTTTTGTGATTAATCATATAAATCGCAAATCTTAAGAAAATTTCACTAAATTACAAATCCACATATATCATCCTAAATATGAAATTCAAAAATTGCAAATGAGTGAAAAGTTAATGGAGAATTTTAGTATCACAATGTGAATTAGTATCACAAACTTGAGAGATATCTCTCCTCTAGGGCGGACGCAGGACTTTAAAGTTGGGGAGGCACAATCGAACTTGTAAAAAAGTTGAGAGAAATTTTACAATAAAAAATTTACGTCCAAAAAAATAATGTCCCGTGTAATTTTACATCCAAAAATTTACATGGGATATAACTTTTTAGAATGTAAAATTTTGAAAATTTTTTATATTATATTTCATATAAAATTTCTTAATAAAATGATGAAAATTACATTGAAAAATTTCTATCGCAAAAATAATAAATGTTAATGAAATGATTGATTTTTTTGACGTCTTTCTTTCAGACTCACGTTTAACGTATTTTTAACTATTTTTATATCTGTTGGGACTATTCGATATACTCATAATGTAGTTCTTGAAATAAGCAATTTGTAGATTCGATTATGGTACGATCGTCGGAGAATTTTTAAAATTAGCTTGTTATCGATATTCAAATGAATTGTGATTTTACTTCTGTTTGGTGGAGATTAAAATCAAATTTTTAGTAAATTTTGATAAAATTTAAACAGTTATGGATTCCATGAAATACGTTATTAAAATTAATTGTTAATTTTGATTTAGATTAAAATTTAGATTTTAATTGATACCAAACATGACTTTAAAAAATATATATATTTCTCAAATGGTATAGGATGGATTATACCTCTCCAATGAATTATAACTTTTGACTAAAGTAGTTGCACTTCACTACATCAAGAACAATCACTTTGGACAAAACGTGCCACTAGAATGGATTTGTAAAGAGAAGGTGTCGGCCTTTGGCTGAATTGTTACAGAAATATACCCCTTTATCGGAAGGTGGATTCTAGGAAGAAAAAAGAAAACAGAAAAAGAAGTCTGAGGAAAAAGAAACTCCGAACCAAAATGAAGGCTGAAAAGTACAGAACAATTCTCACACTGTCAAATTTGGATCTTCAACTCCCAATTTCCAACTACTGTACAAATGCAAAACCAGTTGCATAGTCCAATTGCAATATCATTCAGCTAATCTTAGTAAACATATACTTTTAAAAATGATAGAAGTACTAAATATTACCGTGTTTCTTTGAGGTCACTGGAGAAAAACCTTTTGGGACTTCAAGTCGATATACGAATCAGACTGTCCTCTCTTCTTGTTTATCTTGTTACAGTTGTTAACGTTATTTTTTGGTCGGAATGATGTTGTGAAACGAGTCTTTGTTGATGAAACGAGTGGGAATTGCTGGTGGTGGAACTATTACAGGTGGCGGTGGAATCTGATAGGTATCAAGCGGTGGTGGAGGGTGGCCCCACTGTGGAAGAGGGCCCGCCAGGAGGAGGTTCTGTAGGAGTGGACCTGCTTTCATCACTGCTTGTAAAAGCTTGCCCTTTTCTGGCAATGGCCTGTCAATCACTATTGGTATTGGTAACTCCAGTTCAGGTTCTGCCGGTAGCTGTGGTGGCAATTGGAGCGGTGATGAAACAATGCTTTCTTCACAATCTGATGAAGAAAAACCATTATTGGAGTCAATTCCTCCTCTGGGATGATCATCTTCAATGGTTGAAATTTCAGAATTTGAAGCTGATTGTTGTTGTTGAAGCAAAAGCTTCTCAAACAATATATCATCCCTTTCTTTCAGGATATCTTTCAGTGGGGCTACTTCACAATCTCTAACTTTAATCTCTTCTTGTGCCTCTAGTCTTGTATCTTCCAGTTCCATAGTCTGCAGCTGTAGAGATAGCCTCATCTCATCCATACTCTGTTTCAACAAACAAGTGACTATTGGTACAACGCTAGAAAGAAAAGAAGTAAAAGAAGATCGAGTTATCTAACCTTCCAACTAAGATGAAAACTTGTTTGATTATCCATGCCTCCTCTCTTCAATAAGAAAGATAGTTCATTTGGAGTGGGTGAGTGACAGATCTATGCACCTTAACAAGGGTTGGGGGGTGGAGCATTAGACCAAAGCAGAAAAGGACACGAGCTGGTGTAATAAGATACGGACTGACTGAAGAAGTGAGGTAGACGGGAACTGAGGGTAATTAGTTCTTCAATTTTCAACTCTTACTTAAACATCCCTTCTCTTTTATCCAAACTTGCTTAGACATGGATGGAGTTAAAATGAAATGATCAATTATACTTACCTTATTGTTTGTTTGGTAGTAATATTAAGTGTTTATAAGTTGTGAATCCTATATAATATGTGGATAATAAATGCATAATAAATTGTGAGTCCTATAAAATGGTTTGATCTCTCCCAATGCTTCTATGTACTTGAAAGTTGAAACAATGATGGGCAATGCTTGAGAGAGTGTATTTAAGCTATTGTTTGTTAAATTGTACAAGAAAAATGCACCTTAATGACGAATATGGAGGACCCAATTTCAAGGTTTTTGTGAGATTATCCTATTGGGGAATAGAATAGCTTAATATCAATCAGAATTAGGTTTGTTGATAGGCGAGAGCAACAAGACAGCCATTGCATAGGGTTCCAAATCAATCTTTACTAATAAAAAGGAATAGGCAAGCCAAAAAGGCGAAAACCTACTCCTGACTCCCAGTGATTATAGTAGTTAATGAATCATAATTGTATAACATCAAAGTGTCGATGTCTCGATGGTGTACTATAATTCTACCATTGAAGTGATCGGTTCTTTAAGAATGGGCCCCCAGCCAGAGATGAGTTGGTTGGTCATTGAGACGTGAACAATTCAAATCAAGGTCGACGGACGTCAATATCAATTTTCGATTTATCTTTGCCACATCACGCGGTATGGTTCAAGTGTAGGGCCCGAGCATTATTGATCCCCACCCCACCCCACCCCACCCCACCTCTCTTGTTGCTCCGGCCACTACTCCAGTAACCGACGACCACTTCGGCTACTATTATCCGGTCACAGATCAAAAAATTTGCAGATCACTGATTATTTCGAGGTCACTGATAAAAAAATTTGCAGGTCACGGATTATTTCGAGGTCACAGATTATTTTTGATTCACATATTATTAAATTTTTAGGTCACAATTAAGTAATTGATCACAGATTACCAAACATTTGGTCTCAGAGTACCGCCACTACCACTATGGCCACTTTTGAACACCCTCACCACGCCACCACCGCCACAACAACACCAACAAAGCCACTGACAACCACCTCAACTACGAATCACTTGCATATTACCTATTTTATAGGTCACAAATGTCAAACATCTCCAACAGAAACGCTCCCACAGCCCACACCTCCACCTCCACCTCCACCTTCGCCACAACCACATCCACTCCGCCACTGCTGAAAACCACATCAGCATGAAACCCCCCAGCCCAATCCAGAGTCACCACTGCCAACACGAGCACACCACTGCCAACACCATCGCCCCACGTCCTACCTAGATCCACCGCATCACCTTCACCACACAACCCCACCAATACCACCCAAATCACTACCTTACAGATCTCGAAGGGACCGTTCACCATCACCAATATTCGACATCGACGAATACTACCTTACAGATCTCGAATAGACCGTTCACAGCAGTGATCTCGAAGGGACCGTTCATAGCAGTGATCTCGAAGGGACCGTTCACAGCAACGTCAGCAGCACGCTGCTGTGAATCGACAGGGAGGATGAGAAGTGGAGGAGGCGGCGGAGAGGAACGATGGAGAGAGAAAGAGAAAAATGATAGGGGAGGGGGGTGTGGGGGATGAATTGATAAATTAGGGTTTTAAAGGATTAATTATTTAANTTTTTATTTAAAAAAGAAAAAGAAAAAAAAAGTCATTCTCTTGCTCATCTTTGCTTCTAATATCTTAAAATCTAGCTTTAGGTATTCATAATTGATTTTCTTAAGAGCACGTTTACTGTTATGACTTGCCACTGGCACTGCCACATGGCCGATCCCCATTGGTACTGCCACGTGACCAACCCATTGTAGCTGTGGATCCTCTCTTGCCAAGTCATCAGCTTTGGAATACGAGGCCGTGGGGCAAATTTCAAGGCCCGTTACTCAATCCGAGGCGGATCGAGCCTGAGACTCTACCTAGGTAGTGACGATCCCTGTCCAGAATTCTTGAATTTATTGTGGAATGATTGGTGTGACCTTTGTAAAAGTATATATGTCTTATCTTGTCAGTAATGTGTAAGAACATTAAATGCGTTGTAAGCTAGGAATGTTAAAATGATGGTTAGGATTAGATGTTTCGGACGAGGAGATGAGGCCACGTGTACTTTCATCCAATGGTCATCATCCTATTTGTAATACTATAAATACCTCCCCTATGTGACCTTTAGGGAGATGAAAATTTCAATAGAAAAAAACAACTTATCTTCCTCTTCTACACACATTGATTTACAGTCCTTTACTTTGATTTTTTCACGATTGGTTATTACTATACAGCCGTATCTTATATATTTCGCCAGAACCCGAATGGAAACGTCTAATGTTGTTGAGCTTCTCCCACGTCCAGTTTAGGAGTGATCTTGACCATTGATCTATCGTTACGTGTCCGAATTAGCTTGCGCATACACGAGTGGGTCTGACATCTGTTGACAGCATATTTCGAGGTCAACAGATTGGCGTTGTCTATGGAAAACCATACTACAACCGCGAGCAACCCCGTGGAAAAGGTTTTCTGAGAAAATAGTTTGGGCATCACCCTTGAAAAATGATTTTTCTTGAAAAAAGAACAAGAGAAAACCCCAAAAGTTTCGTTTTGAGATTTTCGTTTGGAAAAAGACGAGTTCAGATGGTGATGTTACCCCAGGCGGATGAGGGAGGGCAATGACGAAGTCCTCCCAGCAACTGTCCCTATGGGTCGGCGGCCTACCTTACCACTATCACAGACGAGGTGGGATGAGGATGGCAACCCAACTCACCAGGGAAATAGCCAACATGAGAAGCGTCACCAACAAAAAATTGGCAATGCAAGAACTATTAAGACAAATGCAAAGCCAATGGGGGTCATCCAATCCCTCCCTATGCACCCAGGGACAGTATCAACTGGAAGATGAGGTACAAAGTCAGAGAGCCCATTCTTCAAGGCATGACCGGGGAGTCAGTCCCCTCGAAAGAGAAGTGGAAGTTGACATTTCTTTCAATTATGCATCGACCGACCCACCAAGGCCCCGTTCAACATGGAAGATAACTTCATCCCGGAATATGAACTCAAAGCTAGGCCTCAAAGGTTTAATAGTGTATTCGATTGAATCATCCCAACGAAACCGAGGCACAATCGGCCTCAACAACACCTAGAGCCTAGGAACGGGCCTCATGCCCCACCTCCTGAGACTTGGCAATCGGAAGAAAGGCAAGAATATGCAGGCTGTGTTGCCCCGCCAAGAAATAAGCCCCAAATGAGGGAAGAAGAGGCGAGGAATCAAGCAGGCCCCTCAGTTCAACTACCCAGATATGAGACAGATGAAAACTATGATTCGGATGGACCCCAACGATCTTGTGATTTGGATGATTATGACGAGAACCTGCCCTTCTTGTGGGAATTGAGAAATGCCCATGTACTTAACCACAATGTGATGCCCAAAATACCGAAGTATAATGGATGAGGCAACTCGGCTAGACATTTAAATAGCTATAACACACACATGAGCCTGAGAGACGACATCCCTATTGTAAAATGCAGATATTTCCACTTAACTCTTAGTGGAGCGACTGAAATTTGGTACAGTAGGCTACCACCAGGGAGCATTAGGAGCTAGCCAGAATTCAAGAACACCTTCCTGAAGTGATTTGCGGTAAGTAATGAAGAAGAGCCCCCCATTCAGCATCTCAAGGGCATGAAACAACAGCCTGTAGAATCCTTGAAAAGATTCTTGTCTCGTTTTACCAATAAGATGGCATATTGTGTTCAAGTTACTGATCGTGAGGCCCTGTCAGCATTGCGAGGAGGCCTAAACATGAACACTCTGTTTTGGAAAGATGTTCAAAATCATGTGCGACTACTTATGGTGCGTTGCTAGAAATGATGATGCGGAAGATTATCAACGAAGAGTTTATTGATTATCAAAAGAACCAGACTGGCAACGTGATTGCCCCCAGCTCAGGGCATGCACTTACCATGACCACCTTAAATGTAGTACCCACGTTGGCCTATGAAAATGTCACACTTGAAACCAACACTCAACAAATTAGATCAGCACAACAAGCCCCCCCATAGAGGATGAAGATGAGGGCGAGGTTCGAGACCTAGAGGTAGGCTAACCCCCTTGAATACTGCATGTATCATCATTCCTACATCCATGACACAGCAAACTGCAGAGATATTGCCCAGCACCCTAGGCGGACAAGTCCCCGAAATGACCAACGAAAAGATTCACGATAGAGAAATAGGCCCCCACCTAAGCGTGACCAGCAACTTAGGCGTGAGAAAGACACCCCCGCCGTTGGGATGTATATCCCCGACGGAGGATGGACCATGAAGAGGAAAGGGCAAGAGATGGACAACGACATCGGAGAGGCCATCATGCCCGCACAGATAACGTCCCCATCCTCGAGATCAACAAAATCTTTGGAGGACCATATGTCGGTGGAAAGACAAGGAACTATGTCAAAGAGGCTAAAGGCCCCCACTAACAAGCTATATAGTGGACGGTAGTTCCCGAAAGAATTAGGCACCATCCATTATGTCCTCTTTGGAAGATGTAGAATGAGTCCACTTCCCCCATGCGATGCCCTTATAGTAAGGGTCGTAGTAGCCCGAAATGGGCTAAAACGGATGCTAATGGACAATAGCAGCTCCGTCAACATCCTTTTCGGAGCCACTTTCGACAAAATGATTTTGGATCATGAGCTAACCCCCATCACCACCCCCTTGTATGGATTCACGGGGGATAGCATAATTCCGATGGGTAAAATCAGAC